AACAAGCTATAACCTACAAACTTCGATAAAGTGCTATTTTTATCATATATAAGTGGTAGCTCTTGAATTTTTCTATATTATTTCAATATGAATGATAATCTTTGACTATGAATACATTGAAGACACATATGATGATAGTATGTGATAATACGATCAGCATCTTCGCAGATTATCAATAGTGATTTTTCACCTATTTACAACAAAAACATTATACTTATTTCATGTTTGAATGTACTTTTGTACCACGTTCGAGCATAACACAGTTAATATTTGATCTTCCTACAGCTTCTTGAATTTTTTTTTCTATTAACATTGGGATAACGAATATTTCTTGTATTTTTTTTTGCTTTAATATTTCTACTTCAAGTGAACCTGTAAAAGCTACTTTCTCAATACTTTCATGAACAGCAATTTCATAGCCAAACAACATCCGGTGAAAATCCAACCTAGAGCATCATAAGAAGACAGAATCGAAAGTTTGACTCAAATGATGAAAAATACTTCTTTGATAAGACAAGCACAATAAAGTACAGTTAATGGTGTTTGTTCAACGAGTTTTGAGGATCATGACATTACCTGTAAAATAGTTCAATATATAGATTCGTGTGATTCAACACGGAGTACTAATTTACCACAAGTTAATACTGGTGCAACTTTAAAGGCTAGCATGATAAGCTTAAATAACTGAATACATGTTATCTCATGGCACTTATTTATGAGAAAAGTGAACTTTATCGGAAAGTTTTTTAAAAAAATGGAAAAAATATCAAGTATTTCCGTATATGGAATATTTTTATCAGCCCATCCAGCATCTGAAAAATATGAGTGTCAACAAAATTGAAACAGAATATCATCATTCTTTACCATAATCAAGACAAGCTGCTGAAGCAAAAACTTCACCAACACTATTATTGATGATTTCTCCACCATTTAATGTTGCCAATTTCTGAAAAGATGAATAGTGTTATGAGTGAAAAAAAACGCTTTTGAAATTTATACCGATAAATAATCGACATCACGTCGAAATAGATTTGCAAATTTGCGTAGCAAATTACCACGTTCAGCGGGTTGATAGTTACACCAAATTGACTTAATCTCGGAAGCTTTCTTCGCAGCTTCAACAGCTTTGTCAATATCAGCCTATGACAAAAAAAATCAATCATGATCATAGATTAAAAGAAACATGGGTAAGTATACTCTTACTTTTGTGCCTTCTTCTACTTGACAAATTTCTTTTCCTGTACATGGAGATTGAAGACAGGAAATGTTTTACCATTTGTTGCTTTGTGCCATTTGCTGTTGATAAAAATTTGTGTATATTTTATTTCGATATCCGAAACTTTTATATTTTTATCAGTCATTATTTAAAACAGCTTATCGTTTTTTAACGCGATAATAATACTAACTCGTTACCTCTTCATATATATGGATGAAAAAACAATTTTCTAAATAGTAAACGTTCCGCTTTATGACTCCCATTTTATCAAGTATCTATCTGCTGTTGGATGTATTGTTTGTTCTTCATAACACCTTGAGGAAAGGGATGTAAGGAATATACAGAGTAAATGTTTTTTATTTTGTCAAAATAAAATATATCTGATATACCGCAAGTAAATCACAGACAATATGAAGTTAATCGCGTTTTAGAATCAGAAATCATCGAAACAAAACAGTAAAATCGAGCAAAAAGAACGAAATTATAATCAAAAATAAAATTAATGTGTTCACAAGCGAGGTGCTGAAAATAAGAAGTAGAACTTAACTATATATCGATTGCATTATATAAAAATATTAGTCAATTTTCATTGAAACGGTTTTTGTTTCATAATATTCTACAAGGCTATATTGTCCTAATTAACGTTCATGATCGAATTGTTTGAAATCACTGATTAGAGCTTGAAAGAATATTCAATACTTACGATAGGCATCTTCACAAATGATCAACAATGATTTACTGTCTATATTTGACAAAAAAAATAATGCATTCAGATTAAACATGTGATTAAGCGGATCAAAGTCAAGTGAGATACGTTTGAGATTATTTTAGGCTTAACGTTCTTCAATCTTTGTTATCGTTCTAAAAAAATGCAACATATTCGTACTATTTAATTTTGTAAAATCTTACTTCAGATAAACTTATGAAAATTATTTCATGAATTTCTTTTTATACATGATTATTGCTTGACCACAATTGGGTCCATCACTTAAAATACTCTTACAAAGTCCTTGATGTGAATACGAGGAAAGAGAAATAGGACACTTTGAATTGTGATATTAATCAAAGAAAGGACCTACTCTAAGAATCACAACTTCATTATCTTTCAATACTTTGCCACTATTTAATGTTTTCAATTTCTAAATATTCAATGACCATTCGAATGGGAAAATGATGATAAATGCTACAAGCATATATAATCTACATCACATTCACGTAAATCAGCCAATTTACTGATCATGATAGCAGATACCGCTGGTTCTTATTTTTGTCAAAGAGAATATTGTTAAAAACCTTTTTCAGCAACTCCGATTGCTGTATCAATACTACTTTATCGAAAACAATAGACAAAAAAAAGCGTGAGAAGAAGAAAAAGTTCTATATTTTCATACTTTTGTGTCTTGTTCTACTAGGCAAATTACTTCATATGAACTTAGATAGATGACAAAAAATATTTTTCCTTCGATTATCTATTGTTCTTCATTGTTAATAACGATCTCAATGTATTTAATTTACCTATGACAAAGTGTTGATGCTTATTCAAGCATTGGATATGTTGATATACTCGATTGAGTGTAGAACATGAAGTATATTTCAAACCTGATAGAAATATAGTAAAGATGCATCTTTGATAGTCATCTATTCTTGCTTCGAGTTCAATTTTTGTTTTGATCATATCAGAGTAAAAAAACAAGAATGACGTTGTATTTGATATTGGCTTTGAATAAAAATCCTACTCGGATTATCATCATCGTTTAACGAGAGAATAACAGTTTTAATGATACTCGAACGTGGTAAGAGCTGACATTTTGTTTTTATTTTCTATTATTTTCCAGAATGAAAATGACGTATATATATATAATATTTCAATCTTATATAATGACCCAAGCTTTACAAAGTTATAAAAGAAATTTAATTTAAGGTTATACGACGAATTAATTGGCAAATATTCACTACTCGTTTGAATATGTCAAAAGTTACGTTGTTTAACACAAACTATGAATAGTAAATTTAAAGAATAAGAATAAAATATTTCAAACTTTTGTATTAGTCTATGCAAAGCTTTTTACATTTACATTTGCATGGACTATTTCAGCAGCACAAAACATCAAATATCTTTGTCTAAACTAGATTTTCCTGCCTTTAAAAAGTCAACTCATAATTCCTTAACTCGAAGTCCTACAAAAAACCTTGAACTCATATTGAGAAAGAAAACCACAAAATTCTGATTCGAACACAAGTTTTTCAAATTTCTGCAAACTCCTGAAAAAGGCTAAAAAAAGAAATGAATCTTTCGTCTAATTACTTTCCAAGCATCCCTTAAATGTAATGACTTTTATGTATGCACACTTCATATTTGATCGTAAATTATGTTTAACAGGAGAAAAATAATACAAGTCTATATTATCCTTTTGAAAAAAAATGATTAATTATAACAACCTACAAACTTATTTGGAATTATTCTAAATATTAAAAATTAAATAATTTACAAATGATGTTTAATCACACCTAAAAACATCTAATAAAAAAAAGTGTTTGAACGTTTAAAAAGAATACTAATATTTATGCGTGTATTAATAATTTCACAACAATTTAATTCGTTTATGATATATGGAAACAGAACCTGTTTATAATCACTATTATTATAACTATATGTGAATAACAATAGGGACAAAAAAAAACACAAAAAAGACGAGTGAGAAATAAATAAAGTCTACATGGAACAACCAAAAGAAAAATATCTATTAGAAAAAGAGATACTTTTCTTTTGTTTAATTATGATCTTTATGACGTTCGATTATTCGATGACTTATTTGATGTATATTCGAATAAATTTGATCTTCATTTATGTTCTTATCATTGACTAATAATTGACTTTGATTTGTACCAATAATCGGTTTTGATACAATCATAAGTAAATCAGTTAAAAAATCACGATTACCAAGTAATTCAACATGTGTTACAGCATATTCACCACCTCGTAAAGCATCTTCGAGACGTGTTGTTAATATATCAAATGTTGTTGTTTTATGAACATATTCACGTATGATTGTTTGAACATGTCCAGGATTATGATAACTACCAAATTGTTTCCATGGACCTGCACACATATATCCAAGTGAAACAAGTGGAACAGTTGCGTCACCGGGACCAAGATAAACACCTGATTTAATATGTTCAGATGGATTCGTATGAGAAGTATTAAAAATAAGTAGAGCACTTGAACAATAATCTGAATGAGGATAAAAACCATAAGAGTAACCACTGAAAAAAAAACAATTGAGTAATGGTTCAAGAAATTATATAAGAAAAAACTTCTTACCATTCAGTCATTGGTTCTTGGATATAACCATACACTAGAAACAGAAAATGATACTATGATCAATATTGTAGTTTCATTTCGATAAGATTCAAATGTGCAATATAACAATACTAATTCTACAAGACATAAAATTATACATTTAGTTATTAAAGTAACAAAAGCAAAAACAAAAGCATTAGTATGAATGAAAGCCATATGTCTGATATCTAATAAATTCAATACTGTTTAAATCTATTTTTGATTTATTCGAACAATAGAACTCAAATTTTGAAAATAAACAAAGAAAATATTAGAATTGAAATATTTTATGATGATGTAGAAAGAATACAAAAATTCGAGTTTTTGATTAAAACTTGTTCAACAGATTATTTTTAAATAGAATAGAGTCTTCAATCTATAACTGCTCTTAACTTTCAAATAACATGACACACAGTTTTTGTCTGTTGAAACTAGCTTAATATAGTTTTCTCTTATATTTATATCAATAATGATAAAACTTTTACTGCAAACCATAGTTTGTTGATTTAAATCTTACAAGAATAGTTATTCATCAACTTTCGAGATCTTCAATTGATATCTCTGATCTCACACTTTTTTAACGAACGATATCGTTTAATGCGTGTTAAAAATTTTGAATATCTTGAATATGAAATTTATACTCGAACTTCATATTTTAACTAACAGTCGATTTTGAATTCTTGTGCCTAAAATCTTATTTAATCACGAATAACGAATTTCTATTCAATTACTTCGAAAAATTTTTTATAGTTTTATTCTTTTTTTCTATTTTATTATTCCATAACTGAGAAAGTCCTTCATCATACTTTTTTATTACAATTTAAAACTTTCATATGTTTTAGCTATTTGGTCCGATCCTTTTTCTATAAAAGGTGAATATACTCTACTCGATCGTCCATATTTTTATTGGAGACCAGTATATTAAAGCATATAATAAACATAAACATCTTACTGCAATAAATTTTCAGATTTGTTACGTTTGGTAAAGGTGTTGATAATGGATCTGACCAATATCTTGAGTCTGATTTCCATTTGTTTGTTTTATATTGATCTTTTTTTGTATGTACTGTACCATCTAAAGCATAATATTTATTAACTAAACTCATATAACGTGGTGCAATTGTTTTTAAAACATCAAGAAATTGTTCAACTGTATGATTATGTGTCATAATCTCTTCAACTAATTCGGGTTTAGCATAAAGTTCTTCAAGTATAGAATCAAAACCATGATCATAATCAATTTCTTCTTCACATTTTTCACGTAATTTTCTTAATCGACTTGCAAAATTTTTATAACGATCTTTAGGAAATGTAAGCATATGTTTGAATTCATTTTTTTCTGTGCCATAACATTCTTTCCAAACATCACTTCCACCTAAGTGTAAAATATTAATTCAAAAAAAAAAACAAAGACATATTAAGAAAATAATATATTTACCTCGTGGAAACAATGATGGTATACTACCCAATGCACGAAAAAATCGTGGAAATACAGTAAGCTTACCAATAACTTTACCAAGAATATTTCGACCAAGATCACCTAATACAGATGTATCTTTCATTTCACCTGATAGAACAGCACTTAATGCTTTCGGCGAACCTAATAATGGTCCACCAACATTAAGAAATGTTGCTACACTATAATCAAAAAGAAAACAAATAAACCAAGATTAATTAATTATACAAAAAATAATTTTGACAATTTTTTTGCTTTCTCAACTTTTCTTCGATCCATTGATCACCTGCTTGTTCTGTAACCCATCGAAGAAAATAATATACATAATTAGCTCCCATTGAATGGGTTA